ACTAGCATATAAACACAAATAGCCCTCTATCTCTGGTCCTGTTGGCGAGTGCTAAGTTCAGTCGGTTCCCAATTACATGCGAAGGGGTCAGTGGAAACCTAGATTCTATACGGTCACTAAACGGTGTAATAACCTACCCCAAATCGTCTTGGTGTAAGTCTACAAAGATTATCTTAACCTACAACGTGGGATATATCACATGTCTTTCGGTTGAATGGAAACCCCGTTTCTTTCGTAAATATCGTTCCATCGTGGCATCAAATATTTACGTAGCACCTCCCAGTACAAATTCCGATGTACAGCCGTCTGCTGTTGTATTCATATCCGAACTTTCTGACTACACGGAACGCTCTCTTTTTATTGTTAGTGGTGATTTTAACCATGCAGATATTCATTTCTTGATATGACTCTCTCCACAATATTGCGAATTTCTTCACAAGAGGAAATGCGCAGCTGAACCTTATGTTTTCGAACGATCCTGACCTGTTTGCTGTGCGAAGAAAAGCCCTTCCAGCAAACTCCGATCATTGTATCATGAATGTTTTGCCAAAAGTCTACTCAAAGAAACATGATGGCACACTGACATGTACATCTAGCCGGTAGATTTCTCATAGGTTGTGCTACCCGGCCTATTTGGCATCACTGGGAGAAATGGTCTCTGGTACAAATTTTGATCAGTTCTTTGATCCAAGTGTCTCGGTCGAGTGTCACGAGCTATTTGAACTTCTGCTTTGAGATCTGCCGCCCCATGACCCCCATGTACATCAGTCCCGCCAGATTTTCTTTTCCCACTTTGAAGACCATCAGAAGAACCAAGGAATGGGTATATAAAAATCGTGATCGACCTTTAGTTAAGCAAACGTCAGTGCTGATCATGAATGAGATCCAAAATCTTGACAAGCTCTACACTGAAACCCTACTTGGTGACCTTAATTGCAAACAAATCTGGAGCGCTATAAAAAAACTCTGTGGAACAAAAGTCAGACTACATGGGCCTCAATCCACAGCAAGTGAACTCAACTGCATGTGTTCCACGTCATCTCAGACTGAAGTATCGTACCCATATTTACAATCAGTTGACCATTATGAACTTTCGCATGTCAATTCTAATCTGGTGCAGGCACAGCTGAAGTGCCTCGAAATATCAAAAGCTTCCGGTCCCATTGGACTATGTCCAGTCGTCCTCAGAGAATGTGCGCATTATCTGGCGGAGCCACTTGTCGATATTTTCAACCGCTGCTTCGAGGAACAAAAAATTGTCGACTGTTGAAGACCTGTGCGCATCACACCAGTCCCCAAAAAAGAAGCTGGGAAATTACGACCAATAGCCTGTAGTTCTACTTCACTAAAAATTTTCGAAAATTTTATGCTTGGTAACATTATTCCCAACACTGGACAGCTAGATAAAAACCAATTCGCTTATCACAAACAACGTTCTACCTTAGATGTTCTTGTGCATTTGGTAAACTCCCTAGACATGCATGGCAGGGCATTTTGTGGTTCCTCGACTATAGTAATGCTTTTAACTATGTTGACAGCATCAGGCTTTTGTCTCTACTCCAAGGTGCTGAATTGTCCCATACTACCCTCTATCTACTCCAAGATTATTTTGCTGGTAGAACACAATGCACGAAGTTTCTTGGAAAAACCTCTGACTCCGTACCAGTCAAGTGAGGAGTGCTCCACGGAGCAGTTCTGTCTCCCTTTCCTTTCTCTTTGTACATTTTTGGCCTTCCCACTAACCCAGATGATCTTTTCATTAAGTATGCTGATGATGTCACAATAGGTTCCAAATTCCAAGGTGATTTCCGCTTCTCACAGCTTCAAACCAGTTTATCTGCTTTAAACTTATGGTCTTCGTCTTCTATGTTATCTCTCAATGGGTCTAAATTTAGGGATGTCACCTCGCTCGCCAAAGGAGAAAGGCTGCATTCTTTTGAAAGGAATTTTTCTGTACTCTGTGTTGACAACCAGCCTGTTCTCCCAGTAAATTCTCTGCTATACTTCGGTGTCATTACCTGCCAAGATCTCACCTGGACCTCACATTTAAATTCTACATATGTAAAAAGTCGACGATTGTGTTTCTTTATTTCCCGCTTGCGTTCTTTGCAAGTT